ATATATATACAATGGCATATTACTTGGCAATCAAAAAGAATGAAGTCTTGCCATTTGCAACAGCGTGGATGGAGTTAGAGTGAATTATGCTAAGTGAAATAAGTCAGTCAGAGAAACATAAATATCATATGATTTCACTAATGTGGAATTTAAGAAACAAAGATAAACATAGGGGAAGGGAAGGAAAAACAGAGAGGGAGGCAAACCTTAAGAAACTCTTAAATTCAGAGAACAAACTGAGGGTTGTGGAGGGGTGTTGGGTGGGTTCATGGCTAAGTGGGTGATGGTTATTAAGGAAGGCACTTGATGAGATGAGCACTGGGTGTAAGTGATGAATCACTAAATTCTACCTCTGATACCATTATTACACTATATGTTAACTAACTTGGATTTAAATAAAATTTTTAAGAAAGGTGATGTAACAGGTGAACATGGGGGAAAAAAGAGAGAGAGGCAAACCATAAAATAGACTCTTACCTATAGTGCGCAAACTGAGGGTTCCTAGAGGGGAAGTGGGGGGAGATGGGTACTAAGGAGGGCACTTGTTATGATCAGCATTGGGTGATGTATGTATCACTAAATTCTATATCTGAAACTATTATTACATTGTATGTTAACTAACTGGAATTTAAACAAAATCATGAAACTAAAATAAAGAAAAAAAAGAAAATATTCCCTTTACATTTCTTTACGTAACTAACACTGGTCTCTCTATTGATTATACTCTTTCCCTTACATTCCTTCTGATTTCCCCTTCATATTCCTTCTACTGTAAAGGCTGGGGTCATGGTATATGCCCTGCCTTTTTTCTTTTTAATGCTACTTCAGATTATTCTCCTATCCAACTCCATAGAAACTTCAAGTTTTGACTGGGATTTTATCAAACTGTTCCATCCACTATCTTTCCTTGCAATAATCATGTACTAAGTCTCAAGTCATTGTCCCTGTTCTCTAATGATTTTATCTCCTGGTTCAGTCCTACTCCCTTCAATGCCACCTTTGTTTTAATTCTTGGTAATCTCAACATTCACATAGACAATTTTTCCATTTTTCTGGGCTCTTAGTTATTGAATCTCCTCTCCAATTTCATATTCCATCCTAATTCCGAGACTCACTTCCATGGATGTACACTGACATTGCTCGTATAAATCCAATTTCAAATCTCTACTGTGATGATCATGGAGCATTTTCCTAGCTTACTGCTTATACTATCATGACTGAAAAAAAAAAAGACCACAAAACCCTTTGACCACTATAGAATTTAATAGTTGATCTTCAATTGATCTTATCACCTTATCTTGTCACAGCCCTTCCTCATCCCATAATGTTATTCCTTCCTTCTTTCCATGACATAAATACCATGGCAAAGTTAAAAATCACTCTTACATATATTCACAGTTCCTTTGCCTTTCTGCTTTTCATATCTACCTAGAGATACCAAAATTCTGGTGGAATCAATACTGGTACTTTGCTACCTGCATACACACAGCCAAATAATCCTGAAGAAGGAAGACCTACCACAAATAAAACCAATCCCATTTTAAATTCATAGTCATGAATACTGCCTGACAATTATTCTATACTTCCCTACTCCACCCTTTACAACTGACCTATTCAAATGTTTCCTACATTCTTGTCTCTTGTTCCTTTCTGTTATTCTCTCAGTTGATGAATCCTCTTGTTTCACTAAGCAAATTAAAGCATTCAGAAGAAAGCTGTCTTAATCTTCCATCACTATTTCTACCCATTTACCAGAATCTGTGCTATTGTATTCTATCCTCATTTCTGTTACTGCAGTTGAGCTACCCATGCTTCTAATTGGGGCCAACTTTATCCTAGCCCAAATATATACTTCTAGCCCACAACGACCTACGAAGTCCATATGCATATGTCCAACTGGATTTGAATATCCAATTGAATATTTAAAAGGCATCTCTAACTTCACACTCAAAAAAAAAAAAAAAAAAAAAAAAAAAAAAGTTAGAAACTCCTGGTAATGCTACCCACCTCTCAGCCTCACCAACAAAAAACACCAACAAGAACTAGTTCCTCCTGTGGTTTTCTCCATCTCAGTGAATGTCAATGTAAGTTCTTCTAGGTGCAGGGCCAGAAGATGTGTTTCTTTGCTCACACCTTGCATCTTGGGTTTTTTTTTGTTTTTTTTTTAATGTTTATTTATTTTTGAGAAAGAGACAGAGTATGAGCAGGGAGGAGGGAAAGAGAGAGAGGGAGACACAGAATTTGAAGCAGGCTCCAGGCTCTGAGCTGTCAGCACAGATCCTGACGTGGGGCTCGAACTCATGAACCGCAAGATCATTACCTGAGCCGAAGTGGGACACTTAACTGACTGAGCCACCCAGGCACCCCGCATCTTGTTCTTTAAGAAACCCTGTGATTCTCCTTTTAAAATATATCAAGAATTTTACTCCTTCCCTCTACCTCCATTACTTCCACTTTGGTCCAGGTCACTAGCCTCTTTGCCTGGGTTATTGTACTAACTTCAGAGACTGAGTCATGCTCCTTCCCTTATCCACTGTACCTGATTCTCAAGAGCAGTCACCAGAGTGATCCTGTAATTCAGATTATGTCCCTCCTTTACTCAAAAACTCACAACTATCCCCACCACAGTCAGACTAGAAGCCCAAACCATTACTATTATTTAAAATCCATACATGTTTTAGGTTCCATTTCTTGTCTGACCTCATCTTTTCTCTGCCTTACTATTTCTCTTTATCATTTATCACTACGTAACATTCTGTACATTTTACTTTTCTATCTTGTTTCTTTTCAGTGCCCATTAAAATGTAAATGGTATAAGGGTGGGGATTTTTTTTTTTTTTTTGTATATTTTGTTCACTACTGTATTACCAGAGCCTACATCAGTGCCTAACTCATAGAAGGCATACAGTAAAAGGTATTGGAATGAATGGATGGTTTAATGAATGAAATTGTTTTCGCATGACTACATTATCTAATTTGTTGTGCATGCTAATACTTTTTTATAGCTGTGTGATTTCCTGTAGTAATTCAAAGGATGACCTCTAATCAGACTGAGAGAAATTTGAATTTCATCTGCACCTTGCCATGTGGATTTGCAAATTGTATTCAGTGTCTCCAAGTCTTGTTTTCACATTTTAAAAATGGACATAATAATAGTGACTGACTCAAAGGATAATTGTGAGAATTAAATGAAAAACTGCAGGTAAAATGATCAGAATGCAAAGTGAGTAAAGTCCAGAGCAAAGTTAGTAAACTTTTAATCTAGTTAATATTTTTTAGTTAAATCTAATATATATTATTTTTCTTTTTGTGTCTTGATTTGTACATTGAAGTAATTTTGTAAGAGGAGAAGATAAACTCTTTGAGGTTGGAAATGTGAACTTCTATTTCATTTTAAACCCTTCTGACTTGTTTCATACCAGTATTTAATCAATTATTCTTTGAGAGTCAGGTAGATTCCTGAAGTGTTTCAAATGGCTCATTTTCAGTATGGTAATGTCATATGATAAATTAGCCCCATAGTTTCATCCATTTTTCTATGACAGACTACTCCAGAGTAGAAAAAAAAAAATATTTGTTATGTACTTGACTTTTGTGTAAAGGAAGGAGAAACAAAAACAAAATCCTCTCTGAAGGGAATTATCACAGTGCATTATAAAAAAATGCTTAGAGGAGAGTTTTCCTAAAACTGACACTTAGGAAGTTCATTGAAATCATTTGGAAGTGATCTATGCAAACTTTACATTTTATGTTCGATCATTTTTTTTTTTCACTTAGGAGCATAACCTTTAGAAGTATAATAGTCCCAACTGCTTGATGCTCACATAGTTAACTAAATTTTTAGAATTAACAAATATGCATGTAGGACTGGCTCTTTTGCTCATGAGTTTAATTATGATGATCCAGGAGGGGGTAACATGTAGGAGTCATCAGCAGGGGGTTGATTGCACAAGGTTTCTCTGAGAGTCTGCACTAAATAGACATCACTGTACAAGTTTGCCACGGGTGGGAGAGATGTTTGTTTTTATTATTATTATTATTATTATTATTATTATTATTTTCTGTGAGAAACGGGCACTCTAAATAAATATATTTTGTTCAGATTGCCTGAACAATCTCCAGAGTCGATTAGAATTTGTAGGGGCGCCTGGGTGGCGCAGTCGGTTAAGCGTCCGACTTCAGCCAGGTCACGATCTCGCGGTCCGTGAGTTCAAGCCCCGCGTCAGGCTCTGGGCGGATGGCTCAGAGCCTGGAGCCTGTTTCCGATTCTGTGTCTGCCTCTCTCTCTACCCCTCCCCCGTTCATGCTCTGTCTCTCTCTGTCCCCAAAAAAATAAATAAACATTGAAAAAAAAAAAGAATTTGTATTCATAGAGCTAGGTCTAGAATCCTAGTTATTATAACTGCTAGCCTATGACTTTTACTTTACACTTCTGTATTCTTATATTCTAGACTGGTAAAAAAGAAAAGGCTTCATCTAGGAGTTAAAATAATTTTCAGTTCTAATCACAGGTCTGTAAATGCAAAGATTTGCTGTTGTTGACAAGACTTGTCACCTCTATGCCTTAATTTACCCACCTGCATAAAAGTAGGGATTGTATCTGCCCTATGTTTTTTTACCGACTTATCGTTAACATTATGTTCAATGTGAAGATTATAAAAGTGAGATGTTGTATATTACATGGTTTCTAATTGGGAGGATATTTCAACAGCAGTTGTAACAATCTCTGATGTTGTTGCTCTTCAACTTCTGTTATTTTTCTTTCCATTCAGTTTCTAAATTTCTGTAACTATATTATGATCACCTCCTACCCCCCACCTTTTTAAAAATAGCATATCGGATTTTGCCAGTAGAAATCCAATGGTAAAATCATACTGATAGTTGAAATGAAGGGTTCCTCCTGTTTTTCTTGGGTAACATTTTGATAACACCAAATTGTGCTTTTCAGTTCTGTACTTGGATATTAGTTGCAATAGCATATTTTCTTCTCATTTTCACAGGAAATGACTTATTTCTTGTAGCAGTTCATGAACTGGGACATGCTCTGGGATTAGAGCATTCCAATGACCCCACTGCCATCATGGCCCCATTTTACCAGTACATGGAAACTGACAACTTCAAACTACCTAATGATGATTTGCAAGGCATCCAGAAGATTTATGGTAGGTTACCACTGTTTCTGTTTGGTTAACCCGACAGTGAAGTCCAGAGTTCCTGCTGTTTCCTTCTTTGAGATAGATGCTCTAAGTATTGAGAAAAATAAATACGGAAAAAAGAAAACAAAAAATTCTAGCCTATGGGCAGAAGTCTTCTATCAATTAAGTCTGACAGTCCCAGATATCTCAGTATACAGATTATGGTAAAATCTATACACTGATAAAATTTTCTTATTGAGTTTAATTGAAACCTGCAGTTACAGCAAAGAACTTATGACTTTAGTATTTAATATTCAGATAAAAATGTAATAAATGAATATAACCAATAAAAGCAGTGAGAAATATAAAGACTCTCTTGTAAGGTAGTGAGATTTTGGTAAAAACTGACAGATTGACCCTCAGTTTATATTTGATGTTAGATAGTACCTAGATAAATCACTTGTGAGGTTACAGAAAATACTTGTGTGATGCATACAATAAAATGACCCCAAAAGCATGTGATTACTAAGAATGAAAGCTAACAAACATGGGAGTGAAAGTTAATGAATGGCAAAATTTACTTACACATAATTCAAAATAAATTTCTAATATGCTAGTATTATTTTTATTTATGGGGTTCAGTCAGTGAGTGCAAATTAAGACCAAAGGGAGAAAGACTGTTATACATATTTACTATAATCCTAACTCCCTCAACAGAACCATTGACCTTTATAAAGACATTTATTTCACACATAATTAAGAACTCGACATTTATAATTTACATATAGAGAATATGCTTTCCTAAATTAGTGAAGTGAAGCTTTCATTTTACAACACAAAGGCAAATGCATGTTATCTGTATGTTAATATCCAGTATTCAGAAGACGTCATTTGCATTTTTAAATAGCATAGTTTAAGTTCACTAATTTGTTTTGCATTCATTAGTTTTTCAATTTCGGTATCTCAGTGGTAACCATTCTCTCAGGGTTAAAATAAGATTTGAAAAAAAATAGTCAACTTTTGTGCTACTCTTTATTAAGGGGATACTGAGAAAAGGGAAATGTCTCAGTCAAAACTAAATAGCACATATATTGAATGTGCTGTCTATACCTAGTTTGTGCCATCAGAAATTCCTCCTAAGTGGTTAGCTGAAAGAAGGCTCTTTCTCATGACCTCATGAATTAGTAGTCTAGACTGAAGGTCTGCAAAAGAATATTCTTTCCATATCTAAATATTAAGTGTGAACAGCTCTGTATTTCTTTTAAAAAAATAAATCTCTGGAGGAATGATGCTTTACATCTGCAACAAATTATATGTGTAAACTTTGGCTTAATTTAGAAACCTCTTTTTAGAAATACTTCTTCACATTAATATTTTACTAGTGGTGTTTTAATCAATAGGTGTTTTAGATGCAGTATTCAAATGAAACACTCATCTAGCAATTTGTCAAAACGTCATTAGAAGAAAATAATCAAAGTCAAGAAATGGTGATAAATACAGCTGGAGACATAGAGTAGAATAAACCTCGGTTCGTTAATGTTTATCTTTTAGAAATATTTGCATTGAATCATTGTCTATCAAAATCTAGGATTAACTTTGGTGGAGCTTACATGCATGGCTCCAGTATTCATTTTCATTTATTTATTATTTATACACCACCTACTTCCAAAAAAGATTTGAAAGCAGCTTTTCCAATAAGGACTGTGGTGAAGCTATAAAAAATGTCATTAAAAATTAACAAAGAAAGTTTAGTTACTTGGATTCAGAATTTAGCATGATAAGGACTTTCTGATAGACTTGGCAATGGTTTGTTGGGTAAGACGGTTTGTTTTTTCAGAAAACATTTAGTCTTAAAGACGTCTTAGCTCACTTAGTCCGTGCCCTCCCATCCTGAGTGATTGTACTCTGTGCATATCATCCAGCACTATTCCAGTTTTAAGTGAACCAAGCGCTTTCCTCATATTTTCAAAGGTCCACCTGACAAGATTCCTCCACCGACAAGACCTCTACCGACAGTGCCCCCACACCGGTCCATTCCTCCCGCTGACCCGAGGAAGAATGACAGGCCCAAACCTCCCAGGCCTCCCACTGGCAGACCTTCTTATCCTGGAGCCAAACCCAACATCTGCGATGGGAACTTTAACACTCTAGCTATTCTTCGCCGTGAGATGTTTGTTTTCAAGGTAGGAGGCTGTGATTTTTTTTTTTTTTAACGGTGGATCAAGTGTCTACGGTGTCGCTTTAGAAAACAAGTTCTCATTCATTCTAACACTACCTTCCCAGACCTCTCACAGTTAGAAGTTTCAAAAAAGCATCTTAGAAAATAAACGCACAAATGGGCTTAAATGTCTAGCAGAAGATTGCTGTAACATTCTATTTGGGGAAGGCATTTATGTCAGCAGAAGCTAAAATGCCTAGAAATGTAAGGGTGAGAAAATGCTGCATGTTATGAACAGATAAAAAAGCATAATTGAAATCATGAATAGGAGCTAATCGGGATGATTGGCTTGGGAGCTTAGCCACTTCCAGGCACACGAAAGCTATTCTCTCTTTGATTTGCACATCTTTATGAGATCCCTGTGATTTCACTTGACAATTAAAGCATTGTTTTTTAAGAGTGCTGGTGATCATTTTGTTTTGGATCTACTGATAGAAATTTTAGTAAAATCTCCTCTATGAGACCATCCTTTTTATTTTACATGCACATGTTATTGTTTTCGATAGCCAGGCATTTATATCTACCTAATTTATATTTTTAAAAAGGTTACAGATAAAACTGATTTTACATTTTGGTAAGTATGCCTTTGAATGCCATTGGGTTCTCAGACAACACTGATAAACAGTGTATCAAAGTAAGTTACATAATGAACTTACAAAGCAAGTTCAACATAATGTTGAAAAGTATAGTATAATACTGAAAAATAATTTCTCCCTCAATATCTGCAAACTAATGTGAAAAATTAATGAAAAGTATGTTTTATGTTGGCATTAGAATATTAAAGTAACCACATTTTACCAATACCATCCATTTAAAAGTAAAATAATATGCTCTCTTTTTTAGTAGATGTGAATCGATAAATAATGAAATATCATCCTACTTATACAGTTTCCTATCTACCAGAGGCTACACTTTAAAAACATAGATTTCATATAATTTTTAATAGACAAAGTACTCTGTCTCCTTTATTGGAAAATAAGATTTGGATTTGATATGCATAAGAGCATCGTACTTACCAGGAAAAATCAATGCTTTTGTTCAAACACATGAATAGATTTTTGAGTTCTATAAATGCTTGGCAATACTTAATTAGATATCTCCGATTCAATTTAAGTAGATTAATAAATTTAGATTCAAGGAGAAAAAAAATGAAAGCTCTTTCTCTTTATATACAGCTACTCGTTGTGGCTAAGCTCACAGCAACTACTTGAAATGAAAACAAAATGCAGTCATTTGTTTATTCTATAAGACACCAAATGATATCTGAGGATTTTTTCTTCTCTCTGTTTTGGCCAAATTTCAACATCCCAGCTTTATACCTTGATATCAATGTAATATCTGAGAATATAATGTGAAATTGACTCTGAGTGCATTCTTTCCATCCTTCCTGTCTAATCAGATCGTCAGTCTGAGAAAAGAGTGGTTTCTTCATATGTAATGATCATTTTCACCAGCCTTGCTGCTCTGCACACTGGAAGTATTCTTGATTGACAAAATAAGGTCTTGTGATCACTGGTTCCTGGAATCAGGAGTGAATAAAAAGCAAATAGACCAATTCTCAGGTAGAATGCAGTAGCCACTGTGATTAATGTCAAATCAGGTGTATGAAAAACATGAGTAAGGCCTGATACTCTAAACTTTCATCATACCTTGGATTCCTTAATCAAAACTCTCCACAGGACAGAGTTCCTAAACTCTGTCTGAATTTAATTTCTTTTTTCCACTGGTCCCTGCCCTCTTTCTAAGAATAATTACTGTTGAGGATACCTTCTGATAGGCATTGTATTCTTTTTGATCTCCACTGAGTGGATTATGTGTCACATCACTTGATAATTTTCATAATTATCTCTTTCATATAATCAGTGAGTATGCCCAGCATAGTTTAGTAGGCACCAGGGATGTATGAATAGAAGGTAGCACCTCTGTCTTTATGGAGCTTATATTCCAGGAGTGAAGACAAACATGAACTCAAGAACTTTTAAAATACGGGAGTAAAAGGTATGACATTGATATGAAGAGAAAATACTGAAGTCTAGTTGAATCGATCAAGAAAACTTGACCGAGAAAAAGCTTATGCTGAATTTTGAGAGAGAAATTTCTTAGGCACATTAAAGAAATTGATATTTGGTTTACTAAAAAGCGTATTGAGAGAGAGAAGATAGACATATTTAACTTAGTGAAAAGTGACAAATAATATAAATCAGAAATAAACACAATTTGATCGAAGCAAAGAAAGCATGATTGAATGATACCTGCTCCTTAATTAATAGCTGCCGTGGATTGGGTAACTAATATGTGCCTGAATGTACGCTAGGCACTTAATCTCTAAGCCTTATAATAGTACTGCAAGATGGATAGGATTCTCAGTTTTACAAAGGGGAATACTGAGAATCAGAAAAGTAGTTAGTCTGAGTTACCAGGTCAGTAAGTAGTAGTCAGTAGTTGAGCTCAGGTCTACTTGATTCTGAAATCTGTGTTAAACTTTCCCTTACCTGAGAGTAAAGGAAAAGCTTCAAAACAAAGGTGGCAGACTTTAAACTATATTTTAAAATATGAAATATGCAAGAAATCTTTGCTGAGCTCTTAATGTGAGATGCTGTTTTAGGCACTGGCAATGTGGTAGTTAAAGAAAGAGAAGAGAAGAGAAGAGAAGAGAAGAGAAGAGAAGAGAAGAGAAGAGAAGAGAAGAGAAGAGAAGAGAAGAGAAGAGAAGAGAAGAGAAGAGAAAGAAAAGAAGAAAAGGAAAGGAAAAAGACAAAACAGCTAGACCCTGGCTTCTTGGAGCTTATATTTTAGCTTTCTTCACACAGAAGTTCCCCATGGGTCACTGAAGGATGTGGGAAAGCATCCATAAATTCTGTTTTCCTTTATTAATAACTGCTGGCCCCCTAAGTTATCCCTCTATACCTAAATAGGCTAGCCTAACTTTATGCCAGATTAATGTCATTTTCCCCCATATCTGTTCTACCTGCCTGAAATTACTCTCTGCCAGCTCTCTTGTGCATGCCTGCCTTTTAAATTTTCTTTTAATGTACTCATCATTAATTTTCATAGTCTGCTCCTTCGAGTGTACTTTAGGATCACCCACTCTTTGATCTCACTTTTACTAATGTAACTTGATTCTCTACTTTTCTTCACTACAGGTTCTCTATACAAATTGGAAACCTTTATCTCCTCAACCCTTCTTTACCCAACAATCATTTCCCTTCAGTTTCAATGTCCCAGGCTTCTTTGCAAGCCTCTGCTTATCTAAAACTTCCCTCCTCAGTGTCTTCTACATGTCCCAGCCGCTCTGACTATTCTTCAACTGCAGACATCCTTCTAGCGATTTGTATATTTATCCTCTACATTCGACTAGTATGCTTTTAATTTCCATCTTCTCTATTTCTCGTTGTAATGCATCCCTTAACTAGACTACAAACTTCTTCAAAGCAGAGATTGGTTCATATGGGCTTCATAGTGCTCAAGCTAATGAATAAGAATCCTGATATAATAATTATTTAATGAAAATATAGCTACTATCGTGTTTATACAATAGTAGTCAACCAATATGACATTACTGAAAGTATTTCATCCTGGTAGTTTATTATCACTTGTCCAACAGTTTCCATGACTTAGGTTCTGTGTATATGTCTTTTTAAATAAAAAGTAAGAAAATCTAGATAAAAGGAAAAGGTTAATATCATCAGATAATTTTGTTTTCTTATTAGAAAGGAACTTTTCGTTAGAATGGTAGTTTTAGCATAATTCTTTTGGGAAGCAAACTTTCTCTTCAGAGATTTGATTTACACTGAGCTTTCTAAGCACTCATTTATTTTAAGTGAGTTCACCTGGATATGTTTCTATATGGAAATATAATAAACATTATATATATATATAATATACAACATTACAACATGTATTTGAATTTTATAAATATACATACATAAAATATATATTTTGTATATTGGTAAAGAGGAAATAAAGGTTATTTATTATTTATATGTAAGTATAATTATATATATATATATATATATAATTCCATCCTGTCCTATAGCTAAAATTCTGAATATATATCGATGTCTGTCTATCTCTATATCTACAGAGATATAGAGAGATATAGTTAGAGATATCTGCCTGAGAAAGTTAAGCCTTCCATGCAGCTTTATAATCTTTGGGGAATGCAAACCACCTAAAGCAAGAAATGAAAATCAAAACAAAATGCCAAGGAGCAGAGAAACAAAATAGCAATACAAAAGAAGCTTTGTCCTTACTCTAGAGAGGTGATTTTTAAGAGTGTTCCCTGAAGAGCATAAGCTGTGTGTATCACATGATGCTGCTGTTGTGACTGAGTCAACAATAGGAAAATCTGATTGTTCAAATGAGTCTTCAGATTTCTTTTGGACTACAAAATAAAAACATGGAATATTTAGTTATTTTGTGGTGTGAAAGAAAACAGAATTAGCCAGACATGTATAGGATATGTTTCAGCCCACAATACTTTGTTATATAAGAAAGAAAGCACTAGAAACTGTTCTTCCTGAAGTTGGAAGACAGGAAGAAAAACTGTATCCACACCTGGAACTCTTTTAGCATACAGCACATGCATGCACACACACACACACACACACACACACACACACACACACACACAGAAGGTTTCATTTGGCAATTGACCAGTTCTTTATATCGAGGGGGACAAACACAGGCCAGTGCTTTATAGTAGAGCTAGAAAGGATAGGGTTAAAAGGCAAAGCTGTCATGGAGCAGCATTCACAGCAGTATAGTGAAATGTCTTCCCTATTAGTACAGAAGAGCAAGTCTTAAGGCTACTATTTGAGATGATGGATATGTTTATTATTTTGATTGTGGTAACCATTTCCCAATATATACTTATAACAGATCATCAAGTTGTATACCTTAACTATATGCTATTTTTATTTGTCAATAGTACCTCAGTAAATTGGGGCAAAGGCTAAGGTTCTT